GTCACTTGCATAGGGCACTACAGCTCTTGAGGACAGCCAAACACTGCATTTGTGAGTATATGGATGTTTATTATATATGAGATTGTATTCATGACATTGCAGACAGTGTGAGACACCCATCTTGGGGTACTTTTGCTCCCACAAACCATTGGATGGAAGTAGTAGGAAGAGAATCATGCTTCACTTAAAGCTCAACTATTGGCAAACCTATATGCGGAGTATCTTGCACACCAACATACAGTTGTGTTCAAAATAATAGCAGTCAGACATCACTAACCTGATCAATCACTATTTTTGGTAGAAATTATATTTCTACATGGCAAATAATTTACTAGCAGGTGTAGCAGAGTAATAGAAATCCAACAGACCCAACAGTCATGACATGCATGCTGCTGATTCTGTGTAATTGAATCACTATTTGAAAGGGGCATGTTCAAAATAATAGCAGTGTGGAGTTCTATTAGTGAGCTCATTCATTCTTTGAAAAACAGGTGGCAATTATTGCCCTTATTTAAGGAAGGAAGGCAGCAAATGTTGTACATGCTGCTTACAGTGCATTTCTCTCTGAAATTCTGAGGAAAATGGGTCGTTCCAGACATTGTTCAGAAGAACAGCGTACCTTGATTAAAAAGTTGATTGGAGAGGGGAAAACATATAAAGAAGTGCAGAAAATGATAGGCTGCTCAGCTAAAATGATCGCATATGCTTTAAAATGGCAACCAAAACCTGAAAGACGTGGAAGAAAGTGAAAAACTACCATTCGAATGGATAGAAGAATAGCCAAAAGGGCAAGGACTCAGCCAACAATCAGCTCCAGGAAGATCAAAGAAGGTCTAAAGTTACCTGTGAGTACTGTTACAATTAGAAGACGCCTATGTGAAGCCAAGCTATCTGCAAGAAGCCCCCGCAAAGTCCCACTGTTGAAAAAAAGACATGTGCTGAACAGGTTACAATTTGCCAAAGAGCACATTGACTGGCCTAAAGAGAAATGGTGCAACATTTTGTGGACTGATGAAAGTAAAATTGTTCTTTTTGGGTCTAGTGGCCGGAGACAGTTTGTCAGACGACCCCCAAACACTGAATTCAAGCCACAGTACACTGTGAAGACAGTGAAGCATGGTTGCTCAAGCATCATGATATGGGGATGTTTCTCATACTATGGTGTTGGGCCTATTTATTGCATACCAGGGATCATGGATCAGTTTGAATACATCAGAATACTTGAAGAGGTCATGCTGCCTTATGCTGAAGAGGAAATGCCCTTGAAATGGGGGTTCCAACAAGACAACGACCCCAAACACACCAGTAAACGTGCAACATCTTGGTTCCAGACCAACAAGATTGACGTTATGGAGTGGCCAGCCCAATCCCCGGATCTTAATCCAATAGAAAACTTGTGGGGTGACATCAAAAATGCAGTTTCTGAGGCAGAACCATGAAATAGAGAAGAACTGTGGAATGTAGTCCAATCATCCTGGGCTGGAATACCTGTTCACAGGTGCCAGAAGTTGGTTGACTCCATACAACACAGATGTACAGCAGTTCTCAGAAACAGTGCTTATACAACGAAATATTCATTAAGTGATTCAAAGGAAAGCAAAATCTTCAAACATTTTTCAGTTTATATAGTGAATCTTTGAGTTTGTAAAGAAGAATACAAACACTGCTATTTTTTTGAACAGTCTAATATTCACTTTTCGTCAATTTTTAGAGGAACAACACAAATTTGATTTTTTTTTTCATGTTTTGATTTGGAATAGAATGTGTAGTGTTCCCAATGCATTTGTGTGTATGGAAATAAAAGCTGTTAGAAGGATTTTGAGCTTTATTCCCTTTTTTCAACACACTGCTGTTATTTTGAACACAACTGTATGTACGATTCAGTTCAGCCGTTATTGTGACCCAGGTACACCTACATGACAGCACAGCCAGATCTATGACCTGATTTCTTTCCACTGCAGTTAATATAAAAATGTTGTGAGCAAAATATTGGTGAATCCATTGTTGACCTGCTTCTGAAAATGCAAATTGCATGGATGTTATGGTGACTTACTGCACTAAATACGTTCAGAGTCACTAACCCAGAACAAGCATGTTGATCATTTTCTGTATATTTGTTCTTAGAACTAGTACTGAACCTGGAGTGTCAGCACTGCAGGCAAACAACTACAATTTTCAAAAGGTGAAGCCAAACACAGCCTCAACTTTCTTTTGGGGTCACCAAGTTATCTCATCCTGCTTTTTGGACATCACCAAATGATGAAGTCAGTAAGCGCAGTGGACTAGTTGGCTAGAACCTCTGAACCATACTGTTAGGTTAATTAGCTCCTGCCTAAATTGCCCATTTTAGGAATACATGTGCAAAACTGACTTTTTAGAGGAGCTTCACCAAAAAGGGGAAGTCTGGCTTTAAGGCCTTGTTCCCCACTCTCTTTTAAGGACTGCCACCTTTGGGGAGCGGGGGTACCCAAATTTGACAGATACCTACTCCCACTTCCGCTGCGATCGCCTGGAACATGTGACAGATCCCAAAAGACTACAGGACCAATCACAAAGCGCAGCACTACTCGCGTATGTGCAGTGGGTACCCGACTGTGAAGCTGCATGCTGTCACGTCCGGGTGCCCACACTGAAGATGCCAGAGCCAGGGACACAGGATAGCCGGTACACCTGGCTGCAGTGAGGACACCCCTGGACCGAGGGATAGGTGAGTTTTTGAAGCTGCTGACTTTTAGCTTAAATTTTGACTGGAGCTCCACTTTAAATTGTAATCTCCTTGAGGGCAGGGTTTAACCGCCTCCCGTCTGCCATATAAGGCGCAAGGCGGTTCTCTCGTTCTGGGTGTCCCTCGGACACAGCGGATCACCGATCAACGGAAACAGCTGAAAATGTCGGCTCGGTCATGTGATCAGCTGTGTCCAATCACAGCTGATCACATGTAAATAGAGAAATGCCGGTTATCGGCATTTCTCTCCTCATGAGCTGTCACGCTGACAGAGGAGAGGAGAGCCGGTAATCGGCATTAGGGGACATGTGCACTGATCATCAGGTCACTGATGAACAGTGTGCCCTGATGATCTGTGTAGCCCCAGCAGTGCCACCTGTCAGTGCCCATCAATGCCAGCTGTCAGTGCCCATCAGTGCCACATCAATGCCACATATCAGTGCCCATCTGAGCTGCCTTTCAGTGTTACCTATCAGTGCCAGTCAGTGCCACCTATCAATGACAGTCAGTGCTACCTATCAGTGATGCCAATCAGTGCCAGTCAGTGCCGCCTATCAGTGCCAGTCAGTGCCGCCTATCAGTGCCGCCTATCGGTGCCCGTCAGTGCTGCATATCAGTGCCGCCTAACAGTGCCAGTCAGTGCTGCATATCAGTGACATATGAGTGCTGCCTTTCAGTGCCCATCAGTGCTGATTGTCAATGCCCATCAGTGCCACCTACCAGTGCCTCCTCATCAGTGCCTATCAGTGCCACCTATCAGTGCCCATCACTGCAGCCTCATTAGCGCACATCAGTAAAGGAAATAAATCACTTATTTATAAAATTTTATAACAAAAACTAAAAAAAACTTTTTTTTTCAAAATTTTCAGTGGTTTTTGGTTTGTTTAGCAAAAAATAAAAAAACCCAGAGGTGATTAAATACCACCAAAAGAAAGGTTTATCTTTCTTGTCATTCAAAGTGTGACAGTGCTGAAAATTGGCCTGGGCAGAAAGGGGGTATAAGTGCCCGGTAGGCTAGTGGTTAATATGAATGGACAATACGTAAAATACTGCATTAATTGTTAGCGCTATATAAATACCTTTAGTAATAATAATTGATCACACTGACAAAGAAAATAAAATTAATGGCCACTGGCAGTGTACTGGAAGGGTGCTGGAGTATAGCACTAAGGATGGAAAAATTCACACTTGAGTTGTAAAGAAAGTGCAGCAAAAGTAACAAGATCCAAAATGTTATATGGTAAGGTAATATTGTTTTTCTTTTTTACTGGGAAAGGTGGCAACCCTATTTGTAGAACACTTGGAGGGGGTAAATAACACTTTCCTGTGTTCCTAAAATAACCACTAAATATGAATACAGTGTGTAAATGTTTTAGCAATCTACTAAAATAAAAATATATTTAAATGGATAACAACAAGTGATCATTTTAGGTAACCCCCTGTGAATTAAAGCTGATTTCCAGGAAACAACTAAATACACAAATGATATACATATAAGGAAGCTGTTTCACATGCCTTTATTTTTATATCTCTTCATCCTTTTATGAGATTTACACAGCTCTGTCACATAGCACAGTTTCCAAATGGTCAGTTCGCCCCTGTTCCTGATCATTACACTACCTCATGATTAGAGGATACTTTACAATACATGTCGGGGGTGAAGTGGTTTAGTGTGTTGGGCCTAAGAAGTGGATATTATCAGATCCCAATGCACCCAGAAGTTTGACACCAGAAGGCTTTTATCTACACGTTTTGGGGTTGTACTACGGAATGCCCCAAAATCTGTTGAGAGCTCCAGCGAGTGGGAGACCTGATTTTTCTCTCCTGCAGTTAACTAGTTGCCAACCGCAGATAGCCGAATGACGGCTGCACTGCGGCCGGCCAGTTCTGGGTGGACGTCATATGACGTCCTCCCAGAACGCGCTCTCCTGCGCGCCCCAGGGGGCGCGCACCCGGCGATCTCCGTGATCGCTGTGTCCTACGGACACAGCTGATCACGTGATGTGGTAAAAGGCCAATCACAGCGGCCTTTTACCACGTGATCAGCCGTGTCCAATGACACGCTGATCACAGGGAAATGCAATTGCCGGTTTTCGGCTGCACTTTCCTCACGCTGTCAGATCGTGAGGAAAGTACTGCTGAGAACCGGCAGTTGTCAGAGCGAGGATCGGCACCGATCATCAGGGCACTGATGATCAGTGCCCTGATGATTGGTGCCCAGCAGTGCCACCCACAAGTTCCACCCACCTGTGCCCAGCAGTGCGCCCACTAGCTCCGCCCACCTGTGCCCAGCAGATCACCCACCTGTGACCAGCAGTGCACCCACCTGTGCCCAGCAATGCACCCACCTGTGCCACTCTGCAGTGTCACACACCTGTGCCCAGAAGTGCCACCTACCTGTGCCCAGCAGTGCCACCCACCTGTGCCCACCCACCTGTGCCCACCAGTGCCACCCACCTGTGCACCCACCAGTGTGCCACCAGTGCCACCACCAGTGCCCAGCATTGCTGCCAGTCAGTGCCGCCAGTCAGTGCCCAGCAATTGTGCCAGTCAGTGCCGCTAGTCAGTGCCCAGCAGTGATGCCAGTCAGTGCCGTCTATCAGTACCCATCATCATTAGTGCCACCTATCCAGTGCCGCCTATCAGTGCTGCATATTAGTGCCGCCTATATCCGTGCCACCTCATTAGTACTGCCTATCAGTGCCCTTTAGTGCTGCCTATCAGTGCTGCCTATCAGTTCCCATCAGTGCTGCCTCATCAACGCACATCAGTGAAGGAGAAAAATTACCAGTTTGAAAAATTTTATAATAGAAACAAAGAAACTTTTTTTTTTTTTTTTCAAATTTTTTGCACTTTTTTTGTTTATAGCGCAAAAAGTAAAGCCCAGTGGTGATTAAATACCACCAAAAGAAAGCTCTATTTGTGAGAAAAAATAATCAAAATTTCATATGGGTACAATGTTGCATGACCGTGCAATTGTGAATCAAAGTGCGGCAGCGCTGAAAGCTGAAAATTGGCCTGGTAAATAAGGGGGTATAAGTGCCTGGTAGGCAAGTGGTTAAATAACACTTCCAGGTCTTGTCCCTCCCCCATCCTGTAACTGGACAGTCAAAGGAGAAGCAGCAGACTGATGAGCTCATCTCTCTGTCACTCTTATTTCTCCTCATATGGGCATGTTCCTTGTCAACACAATAGCATGCAGCACTCCTGCCCTGCCTTCTTCTATCCAAAGTGCTGCTGTACAAGGACTACAAGCTGGTGATACCAAGTCAAAGGCACATGCTTACATTTTAACAAATACATACACTTATGATATATCAGTGAATACAGGGTTGCAGTAATTTGTCTTTTATACTACCTGGAGTTCAGCTTTAAAATATATTGTATAAATATATTGTATAAATAATTTGTATATATATATATATATATATATATATATATATATATATATATATAAAAATAAAATATTATAAATACATTTTTTCCTTTTTATAAGTGATCAGAACTTCTGTTCTGAGCTGCATAAGAGCTTGAGGAGAATAAATAAAAGTACAATGATCTTCCCAGTGTACGGCTGTGATGGGGGGTAGGGGGGCAGGGGGCGTGTAAGCACAAGCCTGATCATTAAATTAATGCCCAGCACAGCTAGAAAACTGACCACGCTGTGCCTAATGTGGTCAGTTTTTTTAAATAGGAAAACAGAAGGAATGGCAGGAACACCAGGGATTTCACACGAAAGAATACAAAGAGAACAGGATACTTTTTTTATACTAGTACACTGTACAGCAGGCTCATACCAGGAATATGAAATATTATGTTTACATATTCCATAAGAGCTAACAAAGAAAACAAAATTATATACAGTAAATATTAGAGACCTGATTTTCTGTATACAGTAGCTGTGCATACTTGTTCATTGTTTATCTCCTTGGCCTTTCTTTCACATCAACTACATTGTTTGTACATGCTTTCTTTGGTTTCTGTAAAAAAAAAAATGATTGCCTGAAACTTTATATATCTCTCCTATCACCCTTATTAACATTTATCATGGTGCCGGCAAGACTCTCATGTGATACTATTTGTCAGACTCACAACTACAGCAATATGTCTTTCCTGTATTCCTATGTTCTTGTGACCTTTCACCCAATTCTTTTTGTCATATGACGAGCTACCACATGAAATATTAGTGAGCCTGCGAGCGTCAAAATTTGCTTTGACGTGGGAACTTGCTGAACTTCTTGCACTCTGTCCTAGCCATTGGTACAGTAGCTCTCTGTTAAATTATGCCCTGGGACTGAACCAAGAAGTGACAAAAACCTTTCCACTGGATTGAACACTCCACTTTGAAAAAAAAAAAATGGTTGTGAACTTTCATAAAAAAAATTTCCTATATTTTAATATAAAATCTCTGTTAAAAAGGATCAGTTTTATCTTTAAAAGAATAACATTAGTTCACACAGTAGTCTGCAGCGAATAATGCTTTACTGCAGCCACAGCAGACCACGGTACAACTATTTGGCCCATTACTGTTTAAATGTGTAATGATTTATTCAAGCAGCAATAGCCACAGACAAACTCAAGTTGATAAAACAAATGCCTTTTTGTTCTAAGGTTTCTATCAGGTTCCTTTCTATCCAAGCACCTCGATGAGATTGCCTTAAATCCAGTTAGAGAACTGCACTAGAAGAGGGGAATTGCAATTATTTAGCATTTTTTTTTTTTTTAGATTTGTGAAGTTATAAGTTGATGATTTACAGTTTTTTTTTTTTTTTTCATTTTTAGAAAACCTTTTATTAATCAAACTTGTAATACAAAATGTATCAATGGCTGTTTGCTGAGCATTCTGGGTTTAAATGAAGTAGTACCTGAGGATAACTCATTAGTTTAAAAATTCCTTCTAGAAGAGAGGTAATATGTATAGCTCCTAAATGTCTTTTTTTTTACAAATACCAAATCTATTTATACTGTTCTAAATCTTGTATCCAATCTCTCAAGTAGACTAAAAGAAAAGCTGTGGGTGGAAAAAGCACACGTGGGGTATCCCAATCATTGTTTATATATTAACTTTTGTGGTCTGGGTTACTGTGTGTGCAAGGGAGGAATATGCCCTTTGTTTACTTATTTTGTGCTAAAATTTGGGAGATATGGGTCTGCCCATCATAGAAACATAGAAGAGCGAAGGCAAAAAAAGACCAATTTATCAATCAAGTCTGCCCCCCTTGTTTATTAGATAGATAGATAGATAGATAGATAGATAGATAGATTTTTTTTTTTGTCTGAGTATTGACCTTTGTTTGTTCCAAGCATGTTACCACTGCTGGAAGTCTAAGCATCAACTTTGTTGTGCTTTTTGGTAAAATAATACCTTCTAAGGTTAGTTTTGAACTTTCCTCCCGCTAATTTGAGGTCAAGTATTAGTGTTTTTGATCTTAGCTTCATATTTAAAATATTGCCCTACTGAACCTTCTTCAGTCCCTTAATGTTTTTAAAGGTTTCAGTTATGTCTCCCCTTTCCCTTCATTCTTGAGGACTGTACATTACGTTCCTGGGTCATAAAGTGCACTTCAGAGACCACCTGCCTAAAGTAACCACTGATCAAGTGGCATATACTCACCAAAACGAAGAGGCTCTGATGAGCTTGAATATTCAGTCTCCGAACCCTGCACAACGTCTTCTTCCCAACCCAGCCAGCCAGTGCTCCTACCAGGACATGCATTATGTAGTTTTCATTTTATTTTAATGTAAGTCCTGCAGGGGCAGATGGACCATTTTGAAACTCGGGCACGGCCGAGGGCCCGGGGTCAGTAGGGGGCCCCATGAGATGCCCCTGGTACCTTTTTCATAGGCTTTTTTGAGTTTGGGCAAGGACACAGGGCCCCATGATCCCCTATTGCAGGGGGCCCCAGGAGTTGTCAATCCGCCCCTGAAGTCCTGTCAACATTTTGAATTTGAATGGGAAGGCCAAGCGCAGCTTCACACGCAATTGGTGAATTCCCCTGGTTTCAGGGCTCTTGGAGTGCTCTGAAGACAACTAAAATTGTGCAGGCAGCTCAAGGTACGTGAGTATGACTAACAACAACAATTTACAAGGGACCTTTAGTACAGGTGAAATTTAGGCCATTAATTAGGACACTGATATCAATGGATTGTTCTGATTTTGGGATACCTTAGGGTGGGATTAACTTTCAGTGGATTTAATTTTACAAATACAGTTATATTAGAGCCAAATCTTGGGCAGACATGTAGTGGGGCTTCATAGCCCAGGGTACCACAACACTACAGCAGAAGTTCCCAGCTCCAACAGGTAATGTCAAGTGGGTCCACATTGCATGGGAAAGATTATGATAGCATTTTTTTCATTAGAACTTTTTAAAATATAGCTATAAAGGTATTCTTAGGTCTCCAAAGAGCTTAATTCAAGCTATCGGAAGAATTAGAAGGGACTTTAATTAAGCACAGTACTACCTAATAGGAATGAATACAGTGATTTCATTGAAAATTTCGAAATTTGCTCATTGAGCTGCTTAGGCTAAATTTGCTTAAAGAAAAAAAAAATGCTTATATTTTTTATTAGGAGGCTTTTTTCGAGGTGGGTATTGCAGTAGTTTGCTTTATTTTAGCTAGAGTTCTTTGTATTTGTCTTTTTTTCTTTGTATATTTAATTGTTACTTGCAACTTCAAATAATGAGGCAAATGAAGGGTCATAGTTGAAACAAGCTTCCATACCGTCCAGGAGCCACTTAATTTCCGCCAAAAACAGCCTTCATTTCACCATCACTATTGACTCATCGAATGCATTTTTCCAAAATGGTAACATTTTCCTGAAGTCTACTGATTTAACTTAAGGGGACCTATAATAACTTTGGGTTTTAATTATTTTAAGTTTATGTTTTTATTGCTTTTTTTAAATATTTGTACAAAATATTTCTTTAACAAATAGACATTTAAGGTGACCCTTCAGGAGATTATGCCATGTCGAAAGAACAATCCTGTGAAGAAAGTGCTGTAAGGACCTGTGTTGAGGGGGTTTTTGTTCGCTTCAAGTGCTTTTTCAATTCCCACACAAATCTATAATAACGCAAAACTCACTTGAAGCAGGTCAAATGCACATCACAAGAAAGTCAACTGCAGGTCTCAATGAATTCTGAATTACTCAGAAGCCTTTCAAGCTGATATTGACAGAAGCCCACAGCCTGTCTTCATAAGTACTAATTTGTCAGAACATTTGCAGAAAATTCACTATTCTACACTTCAGGTATTTGTATCCCCTTTTGGCCATTATCATTCCCTCAGCTGATTCCTAGGACTAGGGGCAATCAGCAGGAACCACAGCAACCAGTGGAGAGACCACTAATGACCAGCCCGAGGAGTGGAATGGGATGCCAAGAGCTCTGCTACAAAATAAATTTGCCTGGAGAAGCACTTTACTCCTGACAGGGTTGCTTTATTCCAGTATGCATCAAAGACACATGATTTAGCGACAATTAACAAATCAGAATATGGTCACTGACTGAAACTCCCATTGTGTGTAAATTGTGTGTGTAAATTATTTTTTAGTGCTGACCATAATAAAGAAAATATATACAGTACAGTATACTATATCTATATAAACTACAATACATTCCATTTCATAATACATATTGTTTCTTC